AACCCGGAGAGTGTACAGACCATTGCTTATGCCGATGATATTGTTTTTATAATTAAAGGTAATTCCAGGGCCGAACTGGAATGCCTTGGAAATCGAGCTATGGACACCTTCCAAGGCTGGAGTGATCAGAATAAATTAACTATATCGGATAAAAAAAACTGTGGCTGTGCTGCTCAGGGGAAAATTAGATACCCGACGACCACCAAGCATTAAAGTAAATCAAAACACAATAAAAATGTCATCGCAACATAAATATCTAGGACTTATTATCGATTCAAAAATGAATTTTATCGCTTACGTTAAAAAGTTAAGGGAAAAATTATTTAAATACATCATGTCGCTAAAGCGCTGTGCTAACGAAATATGGGGCATCAAAAGACCGATTCTAAACATCTTTTACAAGGCAGTCTGTTTACCAATCATCACGTATGGCTAGGTACCACTAATTTGGTAAGATATTTAAATTCGTTGCAGCGCAATATCTTAATAGTTCTAATTAAAGCTTGCCGTACCACATCAACCGCTGCAATGCAGACTGTGTCTGGTTGTCTCCCAATCGATTTGGTCATAATCCAATATACACTCAAAAGAAGATTGAAAAAGAACTTAAATATAAGTTGGAACGGGCTGTTTCAACGAAGATTCGGAAGTTTCGTATGACACAAAATGCCTTCTAATAGAAAACGCTATAATGGACGAGTGGCAGCGAAGGTGGAGCAATAATATACATGGTCGTGACACATACCATTTCTTAAAAGATATTACTTTCCATAAGGAAAGGCCGTAGTTCCAACCGTCCAGATTGAGTGTATATGTATATATTAACCGGATATGGCTTTATCCGACACTCGCTCCAGAAACGTGGATTAATAGACACGGAAACTTGTCCTGCGTGCGGCACTAATCCCGAAACTGTCGAACATATAATTTTTCATTATACGAAGTATCAGCAATTTAGATTTTCACAGATCAATATTTCCAAAGCTAATTGGACCAATTTAATAAGCACAAAAAGTGATTTCTTGCTCTTCAATAAGTTTATAAATAACATTTATGCAGAACGTAGGAAATATCTAGATACACCAACATTAACCATTGAACCTTCTACATCATTAAATTAAAATTATACAATGTAATTTCGAACTTACACCTGACGAAAACTTAAGCGTTGATTTTCAACACTTTCTCTGCTAAAATGGTACAAGATAAAACATCTCAATTTTGTACAAATTAAATTAGGAAAATGAAAAGAGAATAGAGAAGAAGAAAGGATAAAGGGTGGAGAAGAAACTATGTAATAGAAATCAGTATGAATAATATTTACCATGAGAGTAGCAGGCCTGCCTTCTCGCGGCTAGGGACGGTAACGCACGGTGCAAACCTTGCGGCTAAACGGCCTAAAAGAAAAAATAGAATAGCTTGAAAGTAAAACAAAAATAAAGAATAAAACTACTGTCATAGAAAAAAAAAAAAATAACAAGATAAAGAACGACGCAGTAATGAGATTAAATCTCGCAAACTGCACGACAGTAAGTGAATGAAATAAATAAAAAAATGTCCTTGGGGGTATACCGTAGGCCCCTGGCGTCGCAACGACCCGCTGTGGCCTTGTCCGGGTGGTACGTGGCGCCAGGGGAGCGGGGGACTTGCCTTAATCGGCTGGCCTGCGAGGATAACAACCTCTATAAAAAATCCTTAACCTTAAGCTATGGCGCGCGGCGATGGGGTGCGCCCTTGTGGATGCATCGGGGCGTGGCGGATGGGTTCATTCGTTCCTACCGGCCAAACTCCGGGATTCTGGCGCACCCGGTTTTATTTCGCCTTACCTGGGCAATGGAAGCTCTACCCAGGCGGACACCTTTTCTCGCCGTACTCGTGGGATTATTCATCGATTCTAAACAAACAAAACAAAAACTTAAGTATAGGCAAGCGGAGGAGTCGGCAGAGTCGGATGCTGGGGAGACATCGATGGGAAGAAAGAGCAGAACGAGTTCTGTATCCTCTTTCGAGGATAGTTTCCAAACACCTGAAGGAAATACTTTAAAGAAAAGGAGACTTGCTGTCTCAATTGAGAGACTCAAGCAGGTAGACACTGAAGATAAGGATATGGCACCTAATCCGATATTAGCGGATGTTAGGAACGAACGAGCTGTTTTGGAAGAATTTCTTTGTAATGACACTAATAAAATCAGCAAAGTGGCTCTCAGGTTTATTCTGTCTAAGTGGAGTAAACTCGAAAACCAGATTCAGGACTTGATCGTTGAGAATGAAAAATTAATAGTTAATGAGACAACTTACCGGAAGGGAGGACCTGTATCCGGCACATATGCTCAGGTGGCATCTGCAGCAGCGTCACCTGGAAGGAAGAAGAAGTTATTTACTTCAGAGGTAAAAGAACCGTACGAGGTTGTTCTCATTACACTTGAAGATGAGAACGACAAACGTACCAACGAAGAAATAAAAACTAAAGTTGAAGAAGCACTGAATGTTAAAAATAAGGAATTAAAAGTAAGAAAAATAAGGCAACTTCGAAATAAGGGAATAGTGATGGAAGCGAACAGCAAAGAAAATCTGAAAATTATTAAAGACACAGACCTAAAGAGCTTGGGTTTAAAAGCTGCCGAACCTAAGAAGCGGGATTCCTGTATTATTATATACGACGTCGATAAGGATCACAAGCAATCCGACCTTTTGGACGATTTTATTATAAAAAATTTAAATTATAAAAACGAAGAAGAAAAGAATAAGCTAAAGAGAATATTAAATTTAGACATTGTTTTAAGTCTAAAAATCAAAACTTTGTGCACTGAATTGTGCAACTACCGTCGAAGGATCTTAACACTATCACCGATGTGGGCAGGCTTTTCGTGCAGTGGAGGTCCTACAGATTTAAAGAATATATAAATATAATTAAGTGCTACAAGTGTCTTGGTTATGGCCACATAGCCAAACACTGCAGTATTGAGAAACAGATTTGTCTGCATTGTGGATCTGACCAACACTCAAGAGAAGACTGCACAAGCAAGGAAAATCCTAAATGTGTAAATTGCATCAGATCGAAAAGAAAAGATATTTCACATAACGTTAATTATAGACAATGTCCTGAATACCTGAGGCAGGTGGAGTTTAATAACTGAGGCAAAAACCGTCACATGGAAAAGTTTTGTTATAAATGAGTCCAAAATGTCCAAATGTTATAAATGAGTCCAAAATGTCCAATATGGGTGCGATGGTGCTCCCTTCTGGAGAAAGAACCAAGTCATGGAGAGAATCTGTCACGTTGTTTCTGAACAAATTTTTACCTAAGGGCAATATAACAGAAGAATTAGAAATACATAAGGCTACCAGACAGAAAATTGCAATGTACTCAAACAGCAATGTAGAACCGGATATCAGTATCGAGGAGATTAATTCCTCTATTAGCAGAACCAAAAATAAGAAATCCCGGTGTGGACGGTTTTGGGCCGGAGATTATTAAGAATTTATGGAAGATCAGACCGGAAGTCATTTTGACTTTCTTCAATAAATACCTAAGAGCGGAAATGTTACCAGACAGCTGGAAGCTGGCAAAGATAATCTTTATACCTAAGAGTCATGACTGTAATAAGGAAGATATAGACTCTTTCCGACCCATAACACTTCTGCCCGTCATTAGCAAAGTTTCTGAAAGGATCATTTTAAACAGAGTGCAAGTACAATATCAAATTAGCAACTTGGAGAGTACACTGCAGTACGGTTTTAAAAAAGGCGCCTCCACGGAGGACGCCCTATTAGCATTTAAGGACAACGTGACAGTTTCAGACAAAAAATATATAATAGCATTATTTATAGATGTTCAGGGCGCATTTAACAATCTATGGTGGCCTGCGATCAAGGTTAGACTGGTTGATGCCAAGTGCAGCACCGGTCTGGTAAATATTGTCAACAATTATTTTAAAAATAGAAGGATAGAAGTTTGCAATAAATACGAAAAAATCAAGTGGAAAGCACGTAGAGGATGTCTCCAAGGTTCAATTATTGGTCCATGCGCCTGGAATTGGTGCATGGATGTACTTCTACATGTAATTAGGAACAAATTTCTGGCAAGTGATGTTACCGCGATAGCTTATGCGGACGATGTTGTTTTTACTATTTATGGGGACTCCAGAAACAAGATAGAAAGCTTAGCTTCACAGATAACAGATGAAATTGAATCATGGTGCAGTTTAAACAAATAGGCTGCCTAGGATTGTTATTTACGGAGAGAAAATTAAGTATGTGGATAATTACAAATATTTGGGGGTACTAATCGATGACAAACTTACTTTTGTGCAACATGTAAAGAGGATACGGGAAAAAATTTTTAAATACATAATGGCTCTGAAAAGACTTGCGCACGAGGAGTGGGGTATTAGAAGATATATACTGGACATTTTGTATAAGGCTGTGTGCTTATCCATTATCACATATGGCTGCGTGATTTGGTATCCAGAGGCTGACAAAGTTATGGTCAGGAGACATATCTCGGCCATCCAAAGAAGCATCTTGTTGTTAGTTGTCAAGGCTTGGATCTGGAAATTATTAGATTTGGAATAAGTAGAATGGTGTTTATTTGTTAACGGGGTATGGCCCCATTAATGATAGTTTATTTAAGGGGAACCTAATTTCTACCTCTCCGGACTGTCCCTGTTGTGGTGATGGTGTGGAGAGTGTGGAACATATGATTTTCGAATGCAATTGTTATGAAGTTTTTAGACATGATGGTTTGAGATCTAGTTGGAATCAACTAATATTAACAAAGGAAAAATTATTGAGTTTTGCGGATTTCGCTGATTCAGGGTATCAAGTATAGACCTGGAATTTTGTTTCGTGTATATTAGTTTTTAATTTGATTATTTTATTTCTGAATTTATGATTTTATAGTTTCCTGATTTAATGATTTTTTTGATATTGTGATTGCAAGTAGAAAAAGGGTCCGCCTCCACGCGGCTGGGACGGGCAACGACACGGTGTGGGCTTGCCTAAGTGACCCATAAATGTATTCTATTAAAAGAATAAGTACAATGTTTATAATCATTTTAAGTTTTGCAGGCAGTGATGAGCTACCGCTCGAAAACTGCATTATAATATGTAATTAATGAAGAAAAAAAAATGAAAATGTCCTTGGGGGCCTCGGCGGGCGTACCTGGGCGCCGCCGCCTCCTTCTTCTGCTGGCCCTCCTTCTGGGTGGGGGGCTGCTTCTGGGGCGGAGCTGCCGCCGCCTTCCGGACCGTCCGTTGCTCCTTCCTGCCTACAACTTTGGACCACTGCCCCTCGGGGGGAGTTGTTTTATTCACCTGCGTTGTCTGTGCTGCCTTTGGTGTTGCCACTGTCTCCTCCTCCACGGGTTTAGTGGCGGCCGTCTTCTTCTTTTTCTTCTTCTTCTTGCTTTTCGCCTCCTCAGGAGAACTGCGCGGTAGAACTGCGCCGTCACTTTTCGCCTCCCTAGCCGTCTCCCGGGAAGCGGAAGGGGTTGTCCTCACTGGGCGGAGCTCACCGCGGAGGGATGCCATCTTCGCTTCCACGATGGAGGCCACCGCTTGTAGTAGTCTCTCCTCTCGGTTGTCGTCAGTGCCGGGAAGGGGAGGCATATCTTCCTCCTCATCGCTGTCAGGAGACGTATCCACCGCCCTTCTATTGCAGTTCTTCTGTCGCAGCGATCTCCTGACGATAGGTTCAGGGAGGGGCTGCACTGGTTCCCTCTCCACCGCCATCCCCTCCATGGCCACGGTTACTTCTTCCATGGCCTCGGTCGGGCGTCGCGTAGTCGTCATCGCTGCTGTGTCCACCTTCTTCGTGGCGGGGGTCTTGCTGAAGGCGTCTAACTTGCGCCCCTGTTCAGCAATCACCTCCGCCAGGCTTCCCACTTGCGCCGTTAACTCCTCCACCTGCTTTCTGAGGGCCTGATTCTCCCTCTCCAGGACTGATTCCGGCGCTGCTGAGGTCGTCCTCTTCCTCAACTCCCCGGAGTGCGTCCGGAACAAAATGTATGCGTCCTTTAAGGCCTTAATGTACGGGCCGTGCAAGTTGCCGCTCTTGCCGGCAACTATCTCCACTTTGTTGCAGGCCTCGAGTATTTGGGCTTGCATGTCGGCTGTGCTCATCCATCTTGCGCGCTCAGCCATGTCCGCATCCTCCTGCCGCCACCACTTTGACAGCGCCGGGGTTCGACGTTCGGGTCGAACACGTCAAGTTGGGCCCTGAGCTGCAGCTGTTTTTCCAGTAGGGCGGTGTACCTCTCTATCTCCACGTTACGGTCCTTGTACTCCCCAGTAGTACACGGGCGGCCCCTCTTCCTGTCGGATGAGCCGGAGAGATTCCTTGCGTCCCCGGACATGCTCCTGTAGGCCTTCGCTGGAGGCCCGTGCAAAGACTTTTCAGAGCCCTCCTCGTCTCTGCTACTGATATGCAGCTCCGCCTCGGGAGGTGTGGATTGTTTTGCTACAGCTCCTCCTTTTGCAATATGGCCGCCCCTTCGGGCAGCGTTCCTAGAGGTCCTCTTGTTTATGGCCTCCATTTTCTCGTCAGTCCAGTCCCTGATGCCTGGACTCCTGCCACTAGCGGATGTGCCAGAGGTGGATGCCTGGCAAATACCGCCTCCAACCGGTACGGATATTTTGGACGCAGCGGCACCGTATGATACGCTCGCCGCCCGTCCTCCATCCCTGCGATCATGTTGGTCGACACTGCTTGCAACGCGGCCGCCACTGCCACCCTCCTCCTCCACTCCTCCCGCCTTCTCCGATTGGGCTTTTGTTTTTTTTTGAAATCATTGTGGCAGAGTTGTTACTCTTCGGGTTCGGGCATCATGCCACCTCCACCGCGGTGGGGGTACTATCCCCCGGAGTAGCAGACCCTAGTTACATGTGTCGGGTGGTCAACCCTGTCGACACCTGGTGACTCTAAGAAAAGATGTTACTGGATAGGCCAGCGCCATATTGATGCTAGAGTTTTTATGTCACCCCTATCGAGTGGGCGCCGCCAGATCCGATTCGATGACTCACCCAAACCTCGGGCTAGACGTTGCTGTGGACCACCATCCGCAGCGTGGTGTATGAGGAAATAGCGACCACCTAATCCTCCACATTCTGCGCTCAGCTAACCTGGTTTCAACCCTGTCAGAGTCTCCAGTCAGTATCTGGGGAGCGGTTTTCCACTCATTCAACATAGCCGTTCACGGGACCTTTGCCGGACTTACGTTTACCCTTATTACTAAGCCGGAGGTCGGGTACCGACTTCACCCAGGTACCCCGGTCGGGGGGCAACTACTTCCCCCTTGGTTAGTCTGACAGGAATATCCGCCAGGCGCCAACCGCAGCCACATTCATTCGTCCACATTTACACAGTTATTACTCATCTCGTTTGCCCTCTTTCCCACCTTTTCAGCCGAGAAGAGGCCCAGGAGCCCCGCGTGGAGGTGAAGTGAGTGGATTTGACCGGGTCTGGCCCTACAACGTCGCCGAAGTTCTCCGCTGTGGGCCTCGCCGGAAGACGAGTTCCAGTTTGGCGAACATCAGCTAAGACGTGGTGTCGTCCCGGTGATGGCCCAGAATTCCCCCGACTCACTGCCGGACGTCCCACCGTCGTTGACGCCGCCCCTCGGAATGGCCTCAACGCCAGCAAGAGCCACCATCTGGCAAGTCCCTCTCCAGCCTCGTGCTCCCATGCCGTACATAACCATATTAACCTCTTCTATATCTAAAGTCTACTATTCATAATCCTTAGTAAGTTATCATATTATTGTAACGTATACCTATTACCAGAATATAATATTTATTGTTATTTAACCTTATTTCCATATGACGGATTATTACTTACTACCCAATACTATAACTCAAATACTATGAGTTCATATCGTGGACGCGACTCGTCAAATACAATGACGATCCCGGGATGTAACAACATTCACTATCATATTATGTATAAAAAAATATAGCATTTCATTTAAAAAAATTAAACTGACTTTGAAACCTTCCCCACCGTACCAGGTACAAAAAAAATATTTATACCACATAATTTTCCTGTTCGTACCAAACAACTTTTGTTAAAACATTTTTTTCCTAACATCACTTCCTTAAAAGATATTTCACTGTATTGAGATAAAACAGACGCCCTGTATTACATAGAGTCGGCCTACCATTTGACTGCTAGTTGGAGAATTGGCCTGCCGTTTGACTGACACTTGTAGAATCGGTCCTACATTTTTTTTTTAATGCGGAGGTAGGCCGACTTTATATGATAAATAATTGACCACCAAACGGTTGGCTAATTCCATAATTGACCACCAAGCGGTAGGCCAATTCTACAATTGACCACCAAACGGTAGGTTTATTCTACAGTTGGCCACCAAATAAAATAAATATCGCCAACAAAAAATTTTGAACGTCATAGCTAATTAGACATCTTGAATTGAAAAAAAAAGTTATAAAGCCAAATACATATAATCTTATGCTTAAAATAATGAAAATCTAGCGTGACAGTGAACATGTTAACAAGTAAATGTTGTTCAAATTATGTCGTGGTTTATGTCATTTTCATCAAAAAAATCTCATCAATATGTTAAGAAAAATTTCGGGATAAAAAAACGTAAAATTAAAAAAGTTGGTGTTTAAATCGCTTGGTTGCCTCGACTCACGTTTTATCCTTATCTGCTATTCGCTGTCCTTGTCTACCGCAGGCGCGAAGCTCAGAAACATAGTCCCTGACTCTACAATATGTAGTCCTGTTTAGGTTCCTTGCTGGTGGTCAATTGGAGAGACATTACTGTACTCCGAAATATAAAAGGTTTAAGCCGCTTATACTACCTCGAATATTAATTAAGAGGTACGGTTGGAAGCTTCGCGAAATTTTAATTAGCAAATCGTTAGAGAAAAAACGGTTGCTCTAACATACATACATATAGTTGCTATTATTAGTGCTTCTCAGTAGTATTTATATGGATAAAATAGATGCACTACATAGTATTACCTTATTTTTTCGAAACTATTTGCTTATTACGGTTTTTATATACTTTTCAAATTTTTAAATTTCCCAAGAAGAAGTATACACGGTATGTCGAAGATATTACAGATGACGATGAAAGCATAGATTCTGTAGTCTATTCAGAAGAGGATTATACAGAGTGTCCCGTAACTCCTCGAACACCCGGAAATGGGGGGTAGCTGAGGTGACTCTGAACAACTTTTTCCTTTTCCAAAATCCAGTTTGAAGCTTCGTTTTTGAATTATTAACGAAAAACACTGGCCAATTACAGCGCGCGTAGAGCCCGCGCTCAGGGACGGCCGAACAGAGATGCACCCGCGCGAGCGAACAAATGCGTACGCGTGACTTCTCGGTTCTCGATAGCTGTCAAAAAACTTTCACTTTGCACTGCTGTTTTTATAAGGCTTAGAGAAATGGTTTTTGGCCGTCATTCCGACGTTTGTATAAATTTTTGAAAAAACTGCAATTAGTCTGAATCGCGAAGAAAATAGCGAAGGTCGTTTTTACAACTTTTTTATCTGAGCTCGAAATGAAAATCTAAAAAATACGTTTTGTAGATCTATGTCAATGATACACGTGCTGATAATTTCATCGAAATTGGTTAATGTTTCTATGAGCTACAAACGGTTAAAGATGATAAAAATCGCACTATCACGACTTTCAGCGTAAAACTGTAATAAATCTGCAGATTCTTACATCTTTCGATGCCTGTTGCTTGTTTCTCCATCAACATATTTCGATGAAATTTTATAATTGACATCGATTTCCAAAACGTATTTTTTTTCTTTTTCATGAATAACAAGTAAGTCGTTTAATAACTGTGTTCGGTACTTTTATTCGTTATCCGAAAGCAATAAAGTGTTTTATTACTTCTGAAAAACTTACCCATTCCAAAATAGATCCGAGGAACGTTGTTAAATTCGGCAACGAATTAAGTGCCAGTATTGGAGAAAACAATTACTATCTTAAATTCAATCGTGATCAAATTAGGATCAATTTCAGTAATATTGATGCCTTCACGGTTGCTAAGCAAGCTTTTCTTGAAGCCGGTCTTAAATTCCATACTTATTCCCTGCCTTCTGAAAAGAATTTCAATGCTGTTTTAAAAGGTTTGCCCTTCGTGCAACCTAACGAGGTTATCGAGGAACTCAAAAGAAATAATCTCAATCCTCTAAGCTGTGTTAATTTTAAAAATCAAACCAATTATCCCATTTTAAAAATCTCATTCCCTTCCTCCACGACTCTAGCCCAAGTACGCAAAATTGGCTTTTTATTCCATGTCAGAATTTACTGGGAGAAATACCGAAACGGACGTAACTATACCCAGTGTTTCAAATGCCGATCTTAATGTCACGCTTCTGGAAATTGTTTTAAAAATCCCAAATGCGTTAAATGTGGTGGTAACCACACCTCTAAAGACTGCAGTAAAGACAAAGATGCCATGCACACCTGTGCTAATTGCGGTGGGCTACACACCGTCAATTATTCCCAATGCCCCTCCCTTTTGGGGTATTTAGCTAAAAGAAACTCATTAGCTTCCAGAAACATCGGACTCTCCAACCGCCCAGCACGCAAGGCACCGAACATATCCACTTTCCCCCATCCCCTTCCGAGTTACTCTTCCAGCGAGGTAGGTCGTACAGCCAAGTTGTTAGTGGGAGTACTAGGGGCTCTGTACATGCCCCCCTCCCCCCAGATTCCACAGCCGCGTCTCAGGCTACCGAATTCCAGGAATTATTCAAGGACTTTTCCTCCTTTGCCAAGAAAGTCATTCCTGTAGTAAAAACATACATTCCTAAACTCGCTGCGTGTCACTCTATCTTTGACAAAATCGAAATCCTAGTGGAAGCTTTTCAACTTCTGTTTTCATAAATATTACGTTCCCGCTCTCCCAACTTCCCGGTATCATTATGACATGGAATGCTTGTTCCTTACGTTCTAAAACTCTTGAACTCGAAATGTTCATGCTCACGAACAACGTTATTATTGCAACAATCCAAGAAACTTGGTTGTCCCCCAATGTTCATTCGACCTTTTGCGATTACAACATCGTTCGTAAAGATCGTAAAGATCGTTTCCGTGGCCGCCCGCACGGTGGACTTGCAATTTTAATACATAAAAG